GACGCTCAGCTGAGCAAGCTCAGCTGACAGTCTGCGACCAACCCGAAGCATCGGCTTTGCTTAATGAATACCCTTGGAAGAAGAATCGTTGACTTGAGAGATGTTTGGCAAAATAAGGAGTATTTCTAGGGCACCTCTGAGGCCTCCGCTCTCATTGCTTCGAAGGCTGATTGCTATCTGAGTGGGAGCCCAGTGCTTTCTTGCAGGAAAGCCGAGCTCCCTCTCGGAAGAAAAGCCGGGTGGCCACGCCATACAATGAATACGGGAGACCTGCCGCTAAGCTACTCCCCACCCTAAGAATGAATTCTTGCGAAGTGCTGAAATGGAGAAAAATGTTTTCAAGGGAGGAAAAGTGCGACAATGTCTGTGAAAACATAATGAGGCTTAAGCAAATATGCCACACTGAGCAGGGAGCAGCTTTTTGTCCCACGCTTGGCTCATTTCCTAAACTATTCAAAAAGGGGACACAAAACAAGTGTTTGCACTGATTTGCTGCTTTCATTAGAGGAGCCCAATTCGGCAAGTGCAAACAACCTGCAAGGAGCCAAGCAAGGGAGCTGTTCCTCTGTAAGAGTGGAAGGGCCTCACCTCTTTCCTTCCATCTAGCAGTGTGCCACGAACTACGATTGTGTGTCCTTTTGGGCAGGCAAGCCACTGGCCATCTTGGCGGCCGACCAGAGCCAGGGAGACTTTCCTTGGTAAAACTGAGGCAGCTATATTCACATAATTTTAGCAAAGTCCATCTTTGCCTATTCTTACTTTGTCTATTCCCCGGGGCCTTTCAACAGAGACAGCAAAACTGTTTGGGTTTTTTGGAGGAGGCAGAAAGCTCCGATGAGGCACACATGTTCTTACTTATTTCGTAATCCAAGGCAAACTGATCTAAGTCTGAGAACAAGGTGGGGTTTAAGCATCTCACCCAAAATGCGCGCAGCAAAATAATGTATTTCATAATAGCAGTCAGCAAGCGAACCCTCCAATCCAGTCCAGGAGTGCGTCATTCCCACAGTCCAAGGACCATCGACAGAGGCAGAATCAGACTTGCACTGCCGGCTAAGACTCTTCAAGACTCCACAGACAGGCATGGAGCACCGCGGGGCCCCCCACCCGTGCACCCCGTCCCGGGGAGGTCTCCTTGCTCGTTGCCATGGGTGCAGCGGATGGATTCCGGCCTCCCGCAGTGCGACCGGACATCAGCTTCGGGGGCACAGCCGCGGGCCTGGGTGGGCGCCGCGAGGGAAGGCGCCGCTGGAAGCAGGGGCAGGGCCCGCGCAACTGCCGCTGCGGGGCCTGCGCGAGGGGCCGGCCGGCTCCGGCTGCCGCCGCAAGGTGCCCGCGGGCCCTGCCCCGGAGCAGCCCGCCCGCGGCCGCGCAACGGGAAGCCCGCCGACCCGGGGCCAGGCGCTCCCGCGCGCGCG